TGATTTTTTCGAATCTCTTTGGCGACAGCACCAGTAAAAAACGTAAATTGATTTGGTGCGTCAACTAGAAACTTCACATTAAAAAGGCTGGTTTTTATTCACGCTTGTTAATGAATTCTCGGGACATTCGTCAGTTCCAAGATGCTAATGCTTAAAATATATAATTTTTATGCGTCAGTTCGGAGTTAATTTTACAACGACCAAGCGCAATGATTTAATTCCCTTAAGTAAATCCAGGTAAAGACAAATTTCGAAATAAAAAATGAAGTTTTTGTCACTTTTATGCGTCAGCAAGTGCTAAAAGCGTGCACTTTATCTAAGAATGTTTCAATTTTTTCGATTGTCGTTGACTAAACTATCAGTAAAGGACGTAAAGTGTGGCCAGGGGATGATTTGATGCGACAACTGAATACTTCTAATTAAAAATTTTAGTGTATTTCTGCCAGTTGACAGAATCACAGGAAATCGGTTAGTTCCAAAATGCTAATGCTTAAAACTGTGATTTTTATTCGTCAATTCGGAGTGAATTTTACATGGACAAAGCATACTGGTTTCGTTTTAGGCTTTTCTACTGCAATAACTAGGGCAAGACAAGTTGCAAAATAAAAATGCTGTTTTTTGTCAAATTGTTCGCGTCAACAAGTAGTAGGTAAAAGCGTGCACTTTAATTAGAAATTATCTGTTTGATGTGTCAATTGGAGACTTTATAATAAACGTCAATTAAGTCAATAAACGTCAATTAAGCATACGTCAATATATTCATATTAGTTGTTAGTTGGTTGACAAAATGACATTATTTTAGTTCCACGATGCAAATGTTATAATGCACTAATTATAGCTTGATTCAACATGAGGTGAAGACACATTTTGCTTAAAGGTATCAGTTTGATGAGTCAATAATGGATGAAATTCTGCACTCTAAACTAAATCTTAAATTTTTCGATTTTGCGTAACAAAGGCGTGAATCCGACCACATTCATTAATGAAATGCTTATAATCGCCGCTCACATGCTGAAGCATGTCTGACAGTTGATGCGTCACACAATGACTGAAATGCTTCACTTTAGCT